TATCTGCATTTCATCCAAACCAGATCACTATTTCATCCAAACACATCATGGCCTCCCACTTCCCTGCCTCTCACTAGGCTCTCTTCCACCCAGAATGTCCTCCCTCCAGCTCTTCTCAAGCTCAGTTTAAGTGGCACCTGCATCTTGAAGTCTTCCCTAATGACCTAACTGATGATGCTCCCCGCCTCCTCTGAACTGGTAACACTGCATTTCTCCTCTGCCAATTCCGCCTGTTTGGTTTGACTGTGACTCTCTTTCCAGTAGGGTCCATCTAGTGGGAAATAGAGTCCATCTCAAGTTCATCTTTGAGACTATTATCATCAGTCTCAAGTGGCCCAAAGAATTACACCTTGTTTTTTTTTTTCATCCTTTGTAGCTCCTGGCCCATGTCCTTGCACATAACAGATATCAATGAATATGCACATATAAATTAAATAATAAAAATCAGTGAAAACAATAAATATCACAGGCCTAAAAGATACTGCAAGAAAACTGGTTCAATCTGCCTCAGAAAAGAAATTTAGTGTCCCTATTCTGTTGACCCTTTGCCCTACAAAAGTTGAATAATATGGCTCTAACTGGCGGACAAGACATTCAAATACCACTTTTCTGCCTTTTCTCCTGTTTCTGTCTTCTGTTGTTGTTGTCATGGTTTTTGACTATGGTTAGTAGTGGGTGAAGTCTGTGCTTTGCAATAAGACAACCTGAGCCTTCATACTGACCCTAATTCCTGTTGACGAGTGACTCTGGATATGTTTCCACATCTCTAAAATGGTGATCAGAGCATAAATTGCTATGGTGTTGGTAGGATTGGAAAATATCATGCATGCAAAGTACCTATGTCAATAAATGCTACTGCAATGTGTTTAAGAGAACTGACTTACCCGAGGTAAAGGGGATTATATCCTACTGATTACACATGGAATTTCCTCAGATACAAGCTGGCACTCCCAGGTACTTCTGGATCTCATCAGCCAAACAAATCCTGGAGCCAAAAAAAACTCACATTTAGAGAAAACTAATTAAAAAAATATATTACAGCACTTTTTCTAATTTTTGTTTTTGCCCCAGATTCAAATTGCCAAACATCAACAGAGCACCAACTCTCTGCTAGTCAGAATAAGCCATCGCCATTGTGTATTTTTAAACCATTTTCAACATTTTGATATGAGATTAAAGGACAGTAACAGGAAGAAGGCTTATGAGGTGTTTACTATGTATCAGGTACTGCTCTCAAAATAACCATATGTGGTAGGTACTATTATTCATCATCCTTGTTTCCTAAATAAAAATCAGGAAAAAGGTAATTTTTTCCCTTGGGGATTCTATACCTGAAAGGTCACTGAGAAGATATTTGCAATGTCACATTCATAGGTACATGCTTTTGAAGGTTAGGAGACATGGGGATGGCAGACAGAATGAAATTAGGTGTGCAGCCTCTGAAGTTCGGCTACCTGAGTCTCCAAGTCAAATGACCTAGCTGTGTGACTTTGAACAACATACTAACCTCTTGGTTAGGTGGGACTAATAAGAGTACATACCTCACAGAGTTGTGCTGATCATTAAGTGAGTTCATGCAAGTAAAATGCTTGGAATGGTGAACTGGCACTATTCTAAGTAGCACTAAGAAAATACTAGCCACTAGAGAAGAGTGAATCATTTGCAAAGTTCTGGAAGAACAACTATTAGTTTAAAGCATTTTTTTTTCTTTTTTATCCAAACTGAAAAATGTAAGAACTATACAAGGATGATCTTAACAATGCAGCTATCATATCCTAGTACAGATTTTCCCCCCAGTTTGATCCCAAATTTCTCAAATCTAATTTCATTCATGTGCTTGATAGGACCTCCGTATCTTCCCAGATTATGAGTGACATTTTTATAAGTTGTAAAAAGTCAAATGGGCAAATTTTTTTTTTTTTTTTACTATGACTGAAATAGAGGGGCACAGTGTACCTACATAGCCCTTTCATGGGTCTAAAACTTGTTTCAAATGATGGTGATTTATAAGAAGGTGGTGAAAATAAAACATATCATTTGAAGATTAGATATGAATGTGAGTACATGTAGGAATTGTCCAGCTTCTCTTTCTGTCTGCCAAATGTTTTTAGGCCACAGAGTTATTTTAAAGCCTGATGTGTAAGGGCAGTGAGAGTTAAAAATGCAGCCTGGAAATTGCATGGATCCTTCCAAAAACAATCATTGGCCAGGGTAGAAAGTGATTTTTAAAAAACCTATCAAGTACATCTAAGAAATGATTAACTTTAAACATCACTACTGCATTCAGCGTATGCAGGCCTATGGTCTGACAGAGGGGCCAGTAACCCTGTAATCCAGGGATCCCAGGTGCCAAGCTGCCACAGAAACCTCCAGAGCAGCACCTGCTTGGCTGCAAGGTCCCAAGTGCAGTTACAGGGAAATTGCAAGAGTCAGGAGCTAGCACACCTCCTGACGACATTATGGAAATGGTGTGTAAAAAGCCGTCAGAGCTAAATGACAGAGGACCTGTCTCTGATTCTAGGGACAGTAACAGTTCCATTCATTGTGTGGCTTCATGCTGGGTTAAACTTCACACTGTTACAAATGAACCTTCTAGTGTAGAGTCTCTGCACCAACGTCTTTTTTTCACTAACATGCTTTCAAGGAAGAGCCATTTCAGTGGGAGACAAGACAGGAAGCTGCAAGTCACCCCTTGCACTTTCCAACTGTAGATTCCACGCCCCCCCAACCCCGCCAAAAAATGCTTTCAAGCATTTCCACAGGTTCTCAGGAGGTGAAAGGAGACTTATCCCAGCGGCCATTCCAGTAATGTCAACAATGAAACTAGCACCCCCTTGAGGTGTGATTGATACTGAGCCCGAATGGAAGACCTCATTGACAGAGACCTATGTTTTGTGCAGAAGGGTTTTTTATTTCAGGAAAATCTACAGTGGCAATTATGTATAATTTTTCCCATTCTTCTACTAAAATGTATTGGTCACTTGAAAGGGCAGAGGTGGATGGTGGTATTGATTCACAGAAGCTTCAAATGCAGTTGCGGCATTACAGGATTTAGGCTGCCAATAGATAGTACACATGATAACCAGGTGTATAAAATGGTACTTCTTTGTGAATCAGAAGTATTTAGCAGCTTAAAGGAGATCTATTCCCTGTCTAGAACCAGATCTGAAAAAAAAAGGAGTACATTGAGGAATAAAAGTCTCAGAAAAGAAAGTTATCAGTGGTAACTTCAACTGTTCGGTTGTTTTTAAAAATTGATGGAGGGGCGCCTGGGTGGCTCAGTCGTTAAGCGTCTGCCTTCGGCTCGGGTCGTGATCCCAGAGTCCTGGGATTGAGCCCCGCGTCGGGCTCCCTGCTCCGCGGGAAGCTTGCTTCTCCCTTTCCCCCTGCTTGTGTTCCCTCTCTCGCTGTCTCTCTCTGTCAAATAAAATTAAATTAAATTAAAAAAAAAATTGATGGAGAGGAAAAGAAGGAAAATGGGGAGTAGGAGGGTTATTATGGCTCAGAAAGGGTCTCAGCAGTACCAGCAAAACCTGAAAGACAGTTTCACTTGCACCTTCCAAACCAGCTTCCAAGAATTTCATTTTGAAGCAATACTGAAGCTCAAGAACCTGTTAGAATAACAACCAACTCTTCCACAGCCTGCCACAGAAACAGTTACTCTCAAAATGAAAATTTCTCATCAACACCTGCTGCAGGCATGGTTTCCGGGCAAAGCAGGACCCTAGTTTAAGTCCCCGCTTAAGGACTTCCACAAAGAGAGGGAAATGTGTGTGTTTGTGTGTGTGTGTGTGTGAGAGAGAGAGAGACAGAGAGAGACAGAGAGAGAGAGAGACAGAGAGAGATAGGGGGTGGATATCAAGTGGCTTAACAAAGCTAATTGTTTTCCTATCTACAAATTGACTCAGTAAAGGCAAAAACACTAAAGGTCAGTTGAGAACCACACGCTGTGTAGACATAGAGCACTGATTCTGGAGAAGCCAAGGCTGAGGAAATGGCAGTGGGAGAAACCAGGAGCTGGGGATGAAGAGGACAGACATCTCTACTTTCGGGAAGACTTAAGCAGACACAAAATCTTTCACAACCAGATGCACCAGCCAGTCCCAAGTATACGGTGATACTGATAGGTGTCCCCAGCCCTGGAGACACGGGATAGGTTCCATGAAGGAATGGAACCAGTAAGCCACAGTGCAGTCTTCAAAAAGGGACTCAGAGCCAGTTCCTCCTCACCATGGTGACCCAGACAGTTTTGCCTTTCAAGTCCAGGGTGCGCTACAGGAACAAGAAAAGTACCGGAGAACTGCAATATTGGACTCCCTATAAAAATGTATGCAATTACCACCATTCAGTGTCACTGTGAAAACGTTCCCAATTATAAATATGCTAAAAAAAAAAATGCGTTCACCCAAATTTAAAAAGCCTGGGCAATGTGAAGCCCAATTGTCTTTCTCAGTCGAGTAAAACCCCGGCAGCTCTGGGGCGTTCAGAGCACTGCCATCTAGTGGTCGGCTCCGCCATTCCTTCTCAGCTTGTAAAACAAGCCAGCGGCCGTTTCCTCATCCGAATCCCTGTAGACGGACGGGGCTGCCAGAGTCATGCTGCCACTTCCTGCCTAGAAATGGCTTCCACCCAAGCCGGCCACGGAGACATGGCCAGCAGCTGACCAGCCAGAGGATCAGGGATTTTCAAAGTTTCTATAAATTGGTGAATGACAGTCCACAGAATTTATCAAACCTTTGAAATGTGGAATATATTAATTTCATAATATGAAGTGTACTACCTATGTGGCAGGTCAAATTTTTCAAAATGTTAAGATTCTAAAGTAGGGGTGCGTGTATGTGTGTTTTAACTAAGAAGAAAACCCAGTGAGAGAGAAAGCTAAATGCTATGGACTATTTTGAGGTATGTTTGAAACTGTCATGTTAAGTCCTAGAATTTATAACAAGAATCATCAAAAGGCAGTGATTTCCTTGTTATTAAGATAATACCATGTTGGGAGCGCCTGGCTGGCTCAGTTGGTAGAGTGTGTGACTCTTGATCTTGGGGTCGTGGGTTCGAGCCCCACCCTGGGTGTAGGGATTACTTAAGAAAAATAAAATCTTAAAACAAAACAAAACATAATACCATGTTGGCTTTACTGATGTTCTTTGCACGTGGAGATTCGGCAAGCTTCTGCTTTTAGTTTTCCCCAAGATTGGTAAGCCGTTACCATTTCAAAGTGGGTACTCTGAAAACAGAATAAAGTAGGACCAAAAAAGGGCTAAGTTGCTTAAAGTAGTCATTCTGTTCTATTTTTAGTTTTTAAGGCTGTTTACCTTGAGAAGCTACTGGAGCAGAAACGTGGGGTAGGCCTTTCGGGCTGGGCACAACTTTGCTGCTTGAGTAAAATGTTTCCTAAGAGTTAGGTCCTTACCTGCTTGGAAAGGATGAGAGAGAAAAAGTCAGGATGGGTGTTTTGATTAAACCATTTAAAATGGCAATTGCAAAAGTATAATGTTAAATGTTTCCATTTATTAATATTTGCTTTTAAAGAAAGCAGTAATCAGCTGAGGTTTTAAGTTCCCAAGGATATACACATATATCTTCATGTTCTGAAAAATGACATCCTAAGAACGATTTACAAATGAATATATTGAGTTACCACAGAAGATAACTTTTGAAACATAAACTGATTTGAACAGTATATTTCAAATGACACAAATCAGAGGAGTAAATAGACAATTAGGACTATACATCGGGGCTGTTATGTTAATATACAGAGTATTGTGTGTGTGACTTAAAAGTCTGTCTTAAGAAGGATCAGATGCTTCTGAATTACACAAAAGAAAGTGTCCCTGATAAAACATAACCACTCTGTCATTAAGTGGCTATCATAACCTTCGAAGGAGATGATGTAAGGCAACACAACCTTGCCATGTAAATATTCTAGAGTCCGCTCCAGACAGAGGCTTCAGCTCTGCACTGCTCATGCACTTGTGACCCACAGCCTTCCCAGATGGATGTAGCCTGTCTGCACTGCACTTTTAAAACAAGTTACAAAAAAGGCAAACTCTCTGCTCTTTTGGTCCCATGTGTATATATTTTGGCTATTTCAGGATATAAGGTAATGGGGGAAAAGCACCTTTTGTTTCATTTTTCACCATAATGAGGAACACCATTTGACATGTGCACCAATTCACTAGATAAGACAAGAGCAATAAAACACAGGGCTGAAACAGGAAGAAAAGAATGTTTCCTAAGGTTCTCTTGGGCACTGCATTGTTGTTTTATGATATTTTGAAGCTTAGTTTTAACTGACCATGCCTGAGTCCAAACTTTGGAACAGAAATACCTATGAATTCTCACTAATCAACAAATGTTCCAGGGGATCAGGGACACCAGAGCATGGATGTATGTGGCACAGGACACAGATGTTTATGGGGAAATGACTAACCCATTTGTAAATTTCCACTGTATACATTTCAAAGACCAAGTGCTATGTAACTGTAGATGATACCTTCAGTATTGATCAATGATAACGCTGACAACTGTAAAAAAAAAAAGTCAGACTGTTTGCATTTCACAATTATGGGTGGTGAACAGGAGATGGTAAATGTACTAAATCATTTTTCTTAGCAAGGAGTCAATTCTATTCAAATCAAGTAAAGATACTGCTTCATACCTGATGTTTGCAACTTAAGAAATAGAGGTTTGACAATTTCTTTTAAAAATTAAGTAACCACAAACATACTTTAACAGAATAAATACCTATGAATGCACCTAACAGTAGAAGAAAATAAAACAAGCAATATCAGAAAAGCTTTCTTAAAAGATAGAAAACATCTAAACACACAAAAATCCAAAAAACACAAACAAGACTACCCAAATAAAATAAAACCTATCAACTGACAACAAATACAAACATCAGCAAAAAGCAAATATTCTCCATTTGAGTTCAGAAATTTAATTACTAGGGAATAATATAAACTAGCACTATAGAAAGATAAACAAAGATAAATCTAAAAATGTAAGCAACAGTAGTGATCAAATGAACTTAACACAAAGAACTGAAGGGAGAAATTATGAAATTAAGCAAAAATAGTGCTTTACACTGATAAAGGTTTTGATCTATCAGGATGTCATGAGTTATTCGCCTTTTTGTTTCAAATAAGTTACCAAAATATGTCAAGCCATAACTGGTAGAAATGAATCACTGGTAGAAATATTATGGGAGAACCTTATCACACCTCCATTAGACTAATCCCAAGCTCTACATTTATGAACCGTGTGACCCACAAAGGTTATTAAAACACAGTTGTCAAGGGACCAGGAGAAAAGAAGCTGCCAGGCCAAGGCCGGCGGCAGAGACCAGCAGTTGCTAGAGTAACACAGGTGCCAAAACCAGGTTCCCGGACGAGAACAGGGCCTCAGCGGAAAGGTGCGTCTTTGGAGATAGGAGGGTCTATGAACCCTTTGACCATCTGACTCTATTTTGTAGTGTTACCTCCTCGCTTGACTCAAGTTAACTTCATCTCAGTCCATTTCCCCCCTCCAATTTCAGACATTAATATCCCATTTTGAATAATGAATTAGTTTTTAAAAATTCATAACCCACAGAACTTGAGTTTGTAGGTAGAGAAAGAAGATCATAATGAAATCTGAACCGATAGTGGGTCTGATTTTCTTCCCCCCTTACCTGGGTTTTAAGGACAAAATGAGCCTATATTAGTCCGTATGCCCATTAAGAGGCTATTTAACCACCCTATATCCTTTCCCCCAATTAATTCAGCCCCTAGATGTTAGCTGAATGAAACCTGCCCTACTTAAGCTACCTAAATTTAGTCTTGCTTGCTGCTTCCTCCAAAATTGCTCTTCATATGGGTTTATCTCCTCTTCCCTCATCCCTGCTCAAAAGCATACTTGTTTAAACAGTTGGTCCTTACGGTGAGTAGGATAGGCTTCAGTATTTGCTCTTTCACTGCAATACCAAATATTTTTTCTTGACTCTAATATGTTCTAGTGCCTTGCTACTCCAAGTGTGACCTATGGACCAGCAGCAGGGACATCTCCTGGGAGCTCGTTAGAAACACAGAATCTCAGATCCCACCTTAAACCCACACAATCAGAATCTGCATTTTAACATGATTGCCTGGTGATTCATGTGCACATGACAGTGGGAGAAGCACTGCTTTAGTGATTCTTTCACGCGAATAGTGCCAGATACATCATTCAATAACGTGTTGAACCATCCCCACTCCAGGTTCACAATGTCCATGGGCTTAATAAAGTCTCTGCTAAAACTGTATTGAATAAACCAAATTTCTTTTTACTTCAGTATTTTTGTAACTTACTCTTCCATGGATACCCCTGTCCCATGATAACTATTATTATCATCCTTCAGAATTCACAATCTATGGAATACATTTTGAGAAATGCTGGACTAATGGACATAATGTAATGAATGAAAACAAATCACTAATCAGCACATCTTTGGATTTCAGTTTCCTCACCTATTCAGTATGGATAAAACTGACCTAGTAATGTCAAAGGGTAGTCTGGAGAAAAAGATGAAATAGATCTGAAAGCCCCTTGGAAATACAAGTGTTGACAAAAATTTCGTTCATTTATTTATTCACTGAGCAAATATTTGTGAGTGCCTACTCTGTCCTAGATCTGTGCTGAGTATGGGGGCTACAGCAATGAGAAAAGCAGACATGGTTCCTATGTTCATGGAGCCAAAAATGAGTTCCGGTGAATTAAGGATTAAGATCTATAGACTACAAAGGTAGGCACTAATTCCCTCTGAGGTAATCAATTACTAAATCAATCCCATCAGTGTTACTTCGACTCAGAATTCATTTAATTAGCAGAATGCCTTCTCAAAACCACGAGGGAGTTGGAGTACCCACTGAGTAATAATCATAATGATGTTAACATTTACAGAGAATTTATGGCATACAGCCAAGCCAAGCCAAGCCAGCCCCTGATGTGTAATGTTTAACAATTTCCATGGTGTATATACTCTCACAGGACCAATTCATTTCAAGCTACTGATGAGAAGTTACTGGATGGGGGGATGGGAGGATTTGGAGAATCAGAGAAGGTATACACTCTCAGTCCTTGCGAGACACTGCAAACCAGCTGCAGCCCATCACGATGTAGATCATGCTAAGTAGTTAGCATAAAATAAATCATAACTACCTGATAAGAAATTAGCTGTTATATTCCCCATTTTACAGATGAGGAAACGGAGGCATAGAAAGTACATAATTTCCAAGATCATGCAACTAGTAAATGGTAAATTGGGATTTGAATCTAGTATAGACATGTGATTCCAGAAGCCCTACCTCTAGACACTCTAGCCCAGTACTGTGGAAAGCTCTGATGTAATTCCTTAGGTTAATGTTAGCCAAATCCACCTCATTCATTCATTCATTTACTCAGTAACTCACCAGGAGTAGCCAGTGATGAGGAATACACTATGGCCAAGATCCTCACAGTTGCTTCACTGGAGTGAAAATATTCTACATGGGGACTAAAATAAATCAACATTTGGATGTAGCTTATATACTCCTGTGTGATAGATCCACACTATCATAGGACAGCCACAAGATGTCCTTGCTTTGGCTTTCCAGATAAACTGAGATACGGCCCAAATGGCTGATCAGGGATTGGGGAAAGAAATTATGATATAAGTTCAGGTAGGCATGTGGATATGTGCGTAGTTCCTGTTATCTGAATGGTAAGGATGTTGCACTGGATTAAGCTAAGGTTCTTCTAGTCAGACTTTAATTGGCTAGGATGTAACAAGAAAGATTTACCTCAGAATCGAGAAGTTGCATCAAAATCCAGTCACAAGTGGCTGAAGCCAAAGCAGCCTTGCAAATACATCAGAAGAATGAAGAAAAGCTTCAGGCATTCAGGTATGGAGGTAACCATAAAAGAAGGTTTGGATGAAACTCTCCATCTTCAGGAAAGCATAAAACTGCTTTATCAAGAAACTGAAATAGGGAAGGAAAAGAGTAAATGGACTGAGTAAACAGAACAGAGATTTTCCTAACACACCTGTTAGCATAAAGGACTCTACCATAAAT